GTCTTTCCCTCCAACTCTCTCTCTCTCTTTGTGCCTTTCTTTCTTCCTTCTTCTCTCTCTGTTCTGTCCTCATCTCCTCCTCTCCATACACTAGAAACAGTGGCTGATGGCAAAAAGGGAGCCAGGCAAAAAGGCGGCAGCCCCCGGGAGTGGAAAAGAAGGAGTTAAGGCAACTTGGTGCAGGCAAGGAGGCCGCTGCATGCTCCTCTGCCCACAGCTCACTGTATGCAAATATAATGCTCACCTCAATTTTGCCATGGTCATTTACCCAAAAAAGTGAGCTTTCTATTCAGGTAAATATGGTACATATTGTTTGACATCTATACTTTCAAATAAGAAACTTTGTTTCTGAGCTCCCTAATCATCTCAACTTATCTTTAGCAACAAGCATTCTACAATATTATAGACAAAGGAGCCATATCAACATGCTCAATGTCTTATGAGTCTTTTAAAGAACACTGTGCTTTTGCCACAGTTTTATATTATTGCTATCAATAATAGTAATAATAATAATAATAATCATAATGACAACAACTTTTATAGATACTGTATTTTAAATTGCAATACTGTACACAAACATCACCTCTGGATTGTTTTACAGTATGAAATTTTAAGGTATGCCTTTTGGTTTAAGAAATTTGAAAAGCAACTTGTTTAAATATGCAGAATTATCTTGAGCTGTTCATACGTGAACTTAAAAGCCGTGCAACACAGGAAAATTAAGTAATTATGCCTCCAAGTTATTTACTGCAATTAAGCTCATTTATCATATGCAAATTAGTGCAAACTGGTCTCATTAGTTACTAAATTACTCAATATGAGCTGAACAATGTAGCACTCCAGTTTGTAATGAAAAATCCCTGTAGAGGCAAGCAGGATCAATTAAGCTAATTTGCATATGCAAATATATTATCTAACTTTTACTTTTCCCTATATTTAATCCTATATTTTTGGTCATTTGTGATTATATTAAAAAGTGGGGTCAAACACTATCTTTATTATATCTTAGTCTTTTCACAGCTGCAAAAAAGTAGGGAGGGGAGAGAGATACTACACAGGTTTCCCATTTCCATATAGATATTGAAGTCAAGCTGATATACATTATCCAATAATGACTTCAAAAGCCTATCTTTCCTACACATGCTGGAGGAAAATGCAGAGTATCCTCATCTTTTCTTTTCTAACAGTAGTTAGGAAATTCTAAACAAAAGTAAAGATATGCATGTCTGAATAAAATTCATCCATATATGAATGAAAGCTGAAGTGTATGCTGCTAATTAACTAGTCTTTTCTTGAAATAAGCCATCCTTACTGTGGCTTCAACCATGTACTTCAACTGTACAAAATATACAAGGTCATTTTCTCATTGTAACATTTTTGAACCATTTGCCTCCGCTCAAAGCCAACTGGCTAGCCTTCTTAACTGTAACATGCACAGATATCTATAACAACAATTACAAAAACTGTATATTGCCAATCACAATTTCTAGAAATTGTGATTGGCAATCTATAGCCTTCTTAACTGTCTTGCAAATGTTTATTATGGCTGGTCCAAATCCATTAGTTTCACCTATAGCAAATACACTGAAACCTTAATTGTAATATACAATTCCTCTTAATTTCAGTGAGTTCACTCTAGACAAGCAGAATACTGAAGTTATCACTATGATACCACTGTCCTAGAGATTCTAAATGTGAAATACTGAAAAATATCAATTTCCTCTTATTTTTCTAACAAATTGCATTTTCCAGGGGATTGCACTTTCCAGGGGATAGCTACACACTTGCACACACACATATAAATCCCATACTCGGAAAATGTCCCAACCTCTGATTCATATGTGTGTGTGCAAGTGTGTAGCTATCTATATATCTTCTCACACAATATAAACTCAATCCAGTGTGGTACACTTGAAGGAACTGCAATGGGATAGAACATACCCCTGGTTTCTCTTCTACATGATGTAAAAGCATACACATAACCATGTACACATAAGACCATTGTAGAGAATAGGATGCCAGTGATTGTTTCTATTTTCAAATTTAGCCTGTCCTTTCTACTGTGTTTCCATTATTTTCCTTCTATTCTGTTGCATTCTGTGAATGAGCTAAAGAATGGGGGTTATATGAGGAATGTGAAGATATTCAAAACTTGTATATCTATCCTATCCCCATTTGACATCTGTGCATGCACTTGTACCAAAGGAAAAGGGAGAAATGTGTTATACTCCTTTGGGACTCCTCTAGACCACATTATAGCAAGCAATAAAATGCTAACTATAATAATGTTCTTAACTTCTGCCCCTAATATTCCATGAACACACGTACATATGGTCATGTTGAAGAATACTTAAGTTTCCAAACACATTTCATAATGATTGACAAAGGCTTTCATGGCCGGAATCACTGGGTTGTTGTAGGGTTTTTTTGGGCTATATGGCCATGTTCTAGAGGCATTCTCCCCTGACGTTTTGCCTGCATCTGTGGCAAGCATTCTCAGAGGTAGCGAGGTCTGTTGGAACTAGGAAAAATGATTTATATATCTGTGGAATGACCAGGGTAGGACAAAGGACACTTGTCTACTGGAGCTAGGTGTGAATGTTTCAATCGACCACCTTGATTAGCATTTGAAGCACCATTAAAGCCTTGGCAGATCGTGCAAAAAGAATCTGCGAACCCCACCTCCTCCAAGATGACTTGTCACTACTTGTAATTATTTAGGGGTTTGGTTTTTTTTTTAATTTTTCCTTTATCTGTATAATTATTCTAGTACTAACTTTAAATCAGAAGGAGACAAGCTTTCCATAAATGGAGAGTGGTAATATACTCATCACTATACTCAGAGAAAGGGTGGTTTGTTTTTTATATAGGAGTTAAAGTGCATTATTTACACTGGTCCATGGATAAGCTGACCCAGTACTGGGGCAGCTGTCAATTGGCTTTCCACATTTGCAATACCACTTCACTCCCACGGATTTGATTATTTGCTGATTTGATTAGAATGTCCTCTTTATGTTTTAAATTGAATTTTTATAATTGTTTTTAATTGCTGTTTAATTGTAACTGTGTATTTAATGTATTGTTTGGCATCTAATGGTTGCCTGTTGCAAGCTGCCCTGAGTCCCTCTTCAGGGGTGAGAAGGACGGGATATAAATGCTCAAAAAATGTTCTCCAGTGCAACTCCATGATCAATGTCTGCTGTTCTCTCAGGTCATAAAAGTGAGTTTTTTTAATCTGTGGTTTTTACTCTTTTGGGGAAGTCTGCACCCTCAATCCCAGAGAACATGGAGAGCAGAATGTATTTTCACTTTCCAATTTTAAAAGAGACTTATTCCCAAAAGTTCACAATAAACAATATTCTGTTGTACCTTTTTCAGATGCATGAATAAGATCAAGATAAATGGTAGATATTTCACAAATAGGACTCGGAATAATTGCCTTCAGATCTATTTCAATCAGCACCTCATGTATCTTTATGATGTTACAACAATGAAGCAAATCCAAGCCATTTCAAATCATTCTTAGGTTACACTGATTTGACAACAGATTTAAGAAAAATATTAAATCTCTTCTGTTGAAACCAAGGGGACTTAAAGATACCACTTTTGTTCAAACCATACCCAACAGTTAATATATTTTCATAGCAAATATAACAAATCACATAAGATTTTTTGAAAGCTACAGCTTATTGAAGTAACTCAATAAACGCCTTTCTTATACATAAAACACAGCACACAGTTTTTTATGTATTTCAATCATTATGCAATATGTTATTATCATTCATTTGTAGATTAAGTATGTGCACATTAAAGTTGAACCAATGTCATAAAAAAAACCTTCATTCACTCTTTCAGCATTTTCACTACCTAGTCATTTTGGCAATCATGAGTAGTTCCAGAATTTTTCAACATTTTCACTCAATTTCCATACTGCAGCTTTAAAATAAGAATGTTCCTTGTTTTTTGATATTGTCCTGCATGATTTAGTGTGAGGAGAACTACCTTTGCCTCACCAAAGCTTTGTAGTTTCCATTCCTCTCTCTTCCAGCGTAACTCAAAGAAAAAGGTTAGAAGGTTCTGCTATCACTTTTGATTAACTATGGCATTTTTGATTGACCTGGCCGTACATACAAACAAAGAGCTGTATGTTTTTGCTCATATGTTTGAAACAAACCAAAGATTAACCTGAGTTTAGATTTGGGGGATAAACTAAAACATAGCAAATCTAAAATAGAAGCCCAAATATCTAGTGACCTTCTTGGTCATTAGTTGTCTTTATTTTTAAATAGTATTTTATTTTTTAAAACAGATTAAATAAGAACACATTACTGATAAAGAATTATTTTCAATAAGATATAATCTCTTCTACATTATGACCACCTTGACCTATTGCTTTCAGTTGGGTTTAACTGTGGAATCTTTGTCAAAACAAGGCAAAGCACATGCACCACACATTAACATGTGTCAAAATAATGTATTTGGCACATACTATTGAATGAAAGTTTGGGGAACACAACATCAATTATTCAGTAAGATCTAAAAAACATGCTCTCTTCTAAAGGAAGATATAATACCATTTTTAATATGAACGTTGAGACAGTAGTAAAGGACTGAAAAGGAAGCTGAACAACTAAAACAGGAGGGGAGAAATAAAAGCCTAAATGTGAACAAGACAAAAATAAAACTTATTTTCACAAAATAGTGATTGATACTTGTACAAACACACACATCATTTGGGGAGCCAACAGCTACTGCACAGTGCAATACAACTAAGTTGTGTGAGATCTAAATTATTACAGCACAAATAATACTTGCCCTCCCTCTCTCATAAACATTCTTTCAATCATGGCTTTCTAAAAAGAAAAAAAAACATGAATTCGTAAAAACCTCATCATGTAAGTTGTGATCAAAACACATGATATCCAAGTAACTAACAGGAATCTTACAGCTTGCAATTAAGTATGTTCAACTGTTTTGTTTTGTAAAGCCATTGTTTTTACCTGTAAAATGTGACTTCCCAAATGAGACTCAAATACTTCAGTGGCAAGTGCACTGGGGCTTCTCCTGCGCTGGGCACCTATAACTGAATAAAAAAGCAATTATGTTGCAATCTCTGCACATTCAGTCACAACACATGCCTGATCTGAAACCAGTTTATTGCAAACAACAATTAAATGTTCTATATAGTTCTGCATTTGAAAAATGAATATTAACCAATACTTGGAGAATTCCCATAGAGCTCCAAGTATCTCTACACTTTTGCCTCCAATGCAACAGATAAAAAGAATCAAGGGGGGGGGGGTCTTTGGATGCCTCTGTATTTACATCAAGGATTCTCTTATGTTACTCAGTTATAATACTATGATTCCAATTAAACTGCCAGTAAATCCTGGGATTTGCATTTGGTGATACTTGAGAGATTGCTTGCTGAGAACTCTAAATACCCCTCCTCCATAAATAGCAAATCTCAGAATTTTATAGGATGGAACCACAGCATTAAAGTGGATCCATACTGTTACATTTACATAGTGTGAACACCCTCCTGGGTTGTCTCACTTACTCAATCAAGTTGACCAAGCAGAGTTGGAAGCTGAGGTAGAGATGCTACATGTGAGGAAGTCTACCTCAAGTCTTGGAAGAGGACCTCTTGCAAGAGTTCTCGGTTCCCACAAGATTTGAAATCCCATGGGCATCTGGAACTGTCATGAGAGATTGCTCTTGATATGTGAGGAAGTCTACCTCAAGTCTTGGAAGAGGACCTCTTTAGAGCAATCTCTCATGACAGTTCCAGATGCCCATGAGATTTCAAAACTTGTGGGAACCAAGAACTCTTGCAAGAGGTCCTCTTCCAAGACTTGAGGTAGACTTCCTCACATGTAGCATCTCCGCCTCAGCTTCCAACTCTGCTAGGTCAATTTATTTTAATGCTCTCATTAAAATAATTCTATTTTAATGAGAGCATGAAAAATAGATTTCAGTCATGTTTTCAAAATCGAGACAGGGAATGCTGTGTTTTATGTAGTTTAATAGGTTTTTACTATGTATTTTTAATATGTCCTGGGTTTAATTCTATTTTAATGTTCATATGCTTTCAGTTTTTGTTTACCTATTGTATGGTCCTTAGAGTTAGCCATTTTAATCCTCTTTGGGAAAAGTGGGATATAAATACCGCTATTGTTACTACTACTACTACTACTACTACTACTAATAATAATAATAATAATAATAATAATAATAATTCTTGCAACAGATGGACACCAGACTGAGGCCATTTTGCTGCATACTGAATGTTCTCAGATCAATATGTGTGTCTAGTACCTGCTGTGGAGAAAAGAAGATTATAACCATGCTCAAAATCAACCAATGCCAGGGCAGCATAATGGTACCAGGCAGGAATCTATCTCTTTGGGACTACTTTTCTTAGTTTCAGATAGCTGAGGGAGTAACACTTAAACATGATTTCAGGCTTCTCTGTTTCACTGGAGAATGAAAAGTGGCAGCTGTAATCCCAGCAGACAGGCTAATCAGCAATTGGTAGGTAAGCACTACTCAGGTAGGATCGAGGTTCATTGCAGCATCTACATGCATAGAAACCATCTCATCCTCCTGAATATCCAGCACCAACAAAATCAATATTGTCAGGGAAGAGGTGGAAAGGGGTTGGAAATAGGTCAAAGTGACAGTGGCAAGGCATTGTGCTTACCAAGATTATGTAGGATCTGAGACCAAGGGTGCTTAATTTGGAACATAGAAACTTTATAAATGTGGACCTCCTCAGGAATGGAGGTTTGCACACTTTGACTTGCCCTTCCTTTGGCAGTGAACACAGTCAATAGTGGGAGCATGGGAGCTCAAGGTATGCACCTTCACATCTGACATAAACTGTCATGTCTCAGTGAATTTCTCTAATCTCTAATGAAATACCTCACCACCACCTAATCCCCCAGCTGCAAAGTTTCTTAATTAATCTAGCAATATACAACTCTGTGAAAGTGTTCAGCACACAATTAGCAGTCTCAAACATTAAGGTCCATAAAGTATGTGCATAGGAGCTTTGAGGTGCCACTCTGATTATCAATCAATTCCCTGGAAAAGAAATTTTAGAGCAATGATTTGTAAGTGCGCTCTATGATATCGCACGTCAAATCTGATCCCTGCACACAAAGACTTATGACACCTCCTGACAGGAGACAAGGGATATTGGTTTAGAAGTATAACATTACGGATGTTACATGTAATTTCTTTGCAGGAAACATTGCACTATTTATACTGAACAACAAATTTACTGCTGGAGTAAAGTAATACCCAGCAAAATTAGAGCTGGCAAATGCTCGAAAAGCAATACTTTGTGTCATCTTCATCGGCTCTTAGGAAGGAAATCAAGGTCATCTATAAAACAATCTCAAAACACATTTCCTGATCTGTTTGCACTTTATACAGCAGTATTTATCAAAATAATACATATGGTAAGAAAAATCACTTTTTGGGTGGGGAGATAGATGTCAAAATTTTTCATTTCACATAGGGGCTGGATGAAAATGATGTCATAATAGCACGCACTTTCAAAGCAATGTCTTATTTTGTGTTTTTGATCTGTCAAGGCGATTTCCCCTCCTGTGATCTGAAATCATTTAGCTCTTCCCTCCTCCATTGCTCATTTTACCCAAAGATAAAATTAAATTTGGCAATTTTGAAAAAGTTATTTTTGGGGGGCGGGGGGAGTAGAAGTATAACATAACTTCACAATGTATTAATTTAGATCGAGTAGAGTTGCTAGCAACTGAAAAACAAACACTCTCCTTTTCCTATTCAAGACCTTTGGCTATTAACACAATCCCCCCAAAGGAAGCAGAAAGAAATACATCCTTTCTTCTCTTGGTTTGTTAAGAAAAGCTCCCAACCTTCCATTTCAGTTGCCAGTGGAAACTGCATGTTTACTTAGGAAAGCTTTTACTTTTCAGATACAGAAGTATCCTGGAAAGCGGACGAGGATATTAATATCAAGTCAGAATACTGTTATGTTGCATCAGGCTATTCCAGTTTGTAAAGTGAAGTGTTCTAAATCTGTTGTCTTGATTCCCCCCACTCCCTTCTGATCCCTAAGGTTCGTGTTTATGACATTTGTAACATCTGCTACAAATACTGAGGTAAGTCAGGCGCCACCTTATTCCTTCCAATATAATGCTCCATTCATCCATACAGCTTTTGATTGTCAGAAGTATGTCTACAACTGCTGGATCTACATGAAGCAAGCTGCAAGATGGGTCTTTCTGAGACTCAGTGTCCATAAATAATGTCATAGTTTTTAAACTTTTGTAAACCCAATTCCTTTTTTTGTAACTATTTGTCATCCATCCTTTCTAAAATATGCTACAGATATGATTACATTTCTAGCAAATACTGTTATAGAGCTTCAGTGTTCAGCACAATTCATTTGACTATATTTTTTATTTATGCATCATTGAGAAACTTTACAAACTTACAAAAATGTAACTTTATCAGTTTTTCATTTTAGTTAAAAATGTCTCATTTTAAAATTTATTTAAATTTATTTACAGACAATCATTCCCCAAGGTACACAATTATACTAAAATCAAAATCAAAATATTTTTGAGTTTAAGAGGTTGTATGGGGCATAGAATTCACACAACAGGTACAAGGGAAACACAGACCCTACAAACAGAGCTATGGAAAACAGTCAGACTATGAAAGCTGCACAGCAGGAAAGTAAATCAAGTTCAAGCAAAAATTAAATCAGGTTAGAGGTAATCTGAAAAAGGGTAAAGTAATAGAAAGCATGGTAATGTGGCTATTGGCATGACACCAATGGCTGTACTGGTGGATGAAATAAAGATGTCAAATTTCAAGCAATACCCCTAACCTTTCCTTGTCATAAATTATGACAACTTTGCTCTCCCTTCCTTCTCCCAACTTTTTGATAAGCTTTAAAGGTAGTTATTTCAGCTGTTTTTTCATGTCCATTATAACTCTTGGCTTTTTTGTAATGGTATATAAGAGTGCCTTCTGTTTGCCAAGAAAACAATCAAGCAACCCTTGATTGGAAACCATACAAATGGCCCATTACTGAGCAGCTGCACTATATGCTTTACTATACGAGATACGTAGTAAATATCCTGTATGCTTCCATCATATTCAACAGGCAGCAAGACTCTTGCAATGTTGTCTTTGCAGTCAGTACTGAATTACAGGCTAAACAGGTGACACTGTATCCTGACTGTCCATATCCTAGTAAATTATATTGGACTGCCATTGGCCTTCTTTCCATTCAAAGGTTTTATCCAATTTTTAGAGGTACATGGTTTTGAATTGTTTTAACATGTTATATTGCTTTCTTTCTTTCTTTCTTTCTTTCTTTCTTTCTTTCTTTCTTTACTTTATATCTTACCTTGCTTCTGGGTAAGACTTTTATTAGACTTTTATTTTTATTGTACAGTACCCTGATATTTTTGATATAGGGTTAGATATTCAAATAAAAATAAATAGGAATACTATTTTATTTATTTATTTATTTCAAACATTTGTACCCTGTCCTTCTCATCCCACGAGGGGGGCCTCAGGGTGGCTTACAATTGGCAGCAATTCAATGCCAACATATACATTATGACAAATAACACAGATTCAACATTAATTAAAATATTAAATTAAAATATCAATTTAAAATATTTAAAACATTCCTATTACAGTAATGATATAACTGCATCTGAGTTCAATTGAGTCCAAACTACTGGGTTGCTGTGAGTTTTCCAGGCTGTATGGCCATGTTCCAGAAGCATTCTCTCCTGATTTTCACCCACATCTATGGCAGACATTCTCAGAGGTTGCCTGCCATTGATGAGGGTGAAACATCAGGAGACAATGCTTCTGGAACATGGCCATACAGCCTGGAAAACTCACAGCAACCCATTGACTCTGGCCATGAAAACCTTTGATAACACAAGAAACACTTTATGTAATCACATAATAAGAAGAAACCAGAATGCTCTCTAGAAGAATACATATAGCAAGACAGAGCTATAAATTAACCAACCCCTTCTTACTTGCATGTACACACTCATTCACTTA